CTCTCTGTGTATCTGAGACATAACTTCCTGAGGTCAAGGAACATTAATTTTATAACTTCTGTTTACCAGCAATACTGAAAGGTCATGAATAGTATTTGCTCAGTCTTAGCAGAGATAGAAGATAGCAGTGATGCTCTTTATGTGCCTTCTAACTCAGCTTTGCTATAATTAGATTAAATGAAATCGTGTATGTAAAAAGTACATTGTAAATTTAGTGCAATACACATGTTTGATTTGATGTATTTCATTACTTGAAAATATTTTTCAGTAACATATACAGTAGAACCTCCATAGTTGACCACCTTGTACATTGACTATATCCTTAAGTTGACCTGATTTACATAGACTGGACATGCACCGTATAGGAGGCCTAGTTCCTTATCTTGACCACCTCTGTATGTTGACCAATTTGTTACAATCTCTTGGGAGGTCAACTGAAAGAGGTTCCACTGTGTAATTTACAGAGGTTCTACTGTATAACATTAAGGAATTGATTAAAAAATAATAAGTTAAATTTCCTTCCAATGAAAAGATCATTTATAAGATAAATTTCTAGACAAGTATGTGCTCATTCACATACATGTAGTGAAGATGTTTAAACATTTAAAATAAGCATAAACAGGCCAGGTGTGGTGGCTCACTCTTGCAATCCTAGCACTCTGGGAAGCCAAGGCGGGTGGATTGCTTGAGTTCAGGAGTTTGAGACCAGCCTGCACAAGAGTGAGAGTCTCCATCTCTACTAAAAATAGGAAAACTATCTGGGCATGGTGGTGCATGCCTGTAGTCTCGGGTACTAGGGAGGCTGAGGTAAGGAGGGTCTCTTGAACCTAGGAGTTTGAGGTTTCTGTGAGCTACAGTGATGCCACAAAACTCTACCCACAGTGACAGAGTTAGACTCTTATCTCAATAAATAAATAAATAAGCATAAATAGCTGGGTGCAGTGGCTCTTGCCTATAATTCCAGCACTTTGAGAGGCAAAGATAGGAGGATTACTTGAGGCTAAGAGTTGAGACCAGCCTGGGCAATATAGCAAGATCCCATCTCTACAATAAAATAAAATAAGCATAAAAAAGGAGGAAACACACAGTTTTAATAAGGAAAACTTGCTTACCTTTTATATGTCTTAATTTGCTTATATGCAAAATGAAAATTTGCACTCTTGATATCTGCATATAATCTTTTTAAAGCAACTATTGTCTGTTTCCCAGGATGTTATCTTGCATGTACATAATTCACAATTTCAGCATGGCATGAAGGAGAGCGTATCACACTCTAGCGAAGACGTTCCTTGTACACTGGACATGGTTCCATCACTAGCTAAAAGGTTTTGGAAAACAAGTCAGAATGATAGAAAATCAGAGATAAAGAAGACCAAGGTCAGGCATGGTCGCTCACACTTTTAATCCTAGCACTCTGGGAGGCTGAAGATGGAAGGTTGCTTCAGGCCAGGAGTTTGAGATCAGCCTGAACAAGAGCAAGGCTGTCTCTACAAAAAAAATAGAAAAACTAGCTGAGCCCACCTATAGTCTGAGCTACTTGGGAGGATCGCTTGAGCTGAGGAGTTCAAGGTTGCAGTGAGCTATGATGAGGACACTACACGCTGGCCTGGGAGTCAGACCAGGTCTCAAAAAACAAAACAAAACAAAACAAAAAACCCTTAGTCTTCACCTACTGTTTTGCAAGTGAGGATGCCAAGACTGAGAAACAACGGGTCGCGCCTAATCATAAAATGTTTCCTAATCATGGATCCAGAGCGAGCACTCAGTTCTCTAACCACTTGTGTACCGTTATTAAACTATGCCCAAACAGATCAATTTTTTTTGTTTCATAATTTGATAAAGGTAGAAGTTAAGTCAATCGCAAAGCATTAAAACTTACATATGGCTTTATTTTTTAAAAATTACTCAAACATTCTGTCTTCATACTTCATTTTCACTTGACTTTAAACAGTTAAATATACAACCATTTAGGCTTTTTCTGCTCTGCATTAAAGCACAGCCTTCTCTGCGTTAGAATTTAAGACTATAGAATTGTACAGTCACACATTAAGTACATACATATTTGCTGAGATGTAGCTCATTTCATTTCTTGTAGTTGGGGCTTCCTGTAATTTTGAACTAGGGTCCATTCTATCATTGAAGCTCACAGCAGAGTTAAGGATCATGGGAGGACAAACAGTCCAGGAAATAATAAATTTTTTCTTCCAGATCTCAAACTTACTTTCTTTTTTTTTTTTTTTTGAGACAGAGTCTCACTTGTCACCCTCAGTAGAGTGCCATGGCATCACAGTTCACAGCAACCTCAAACTCTTGGGCTTTAAGCAATTCTCCTGCCTCAGTCTCCCAAGTAGCTGGGACTACAGGCACCCACCACAACACCCAGCTATTTTTTGGTTGTAGTTGTCATTGTTGTTTGGCAGGCCTGGCTGGATTCAAACCCACCAACTCTAGTGTGTATGGCTGGTGCTCTTGCCACTAAGCTACAGGCATAGAGCCCAGACCTCAAACTTTCTTGTTTATATAAGCTGATCTTTCTTAAGCATAGAAAGGCAAGTCCTGATCTATTTCACTGCATAGGACGGGCAATTCTTTCACTGCTTTGAAGTTGTAAGAAGCTTGGTTGCAAACCAAACTGAGAAAAGAAAAGCATAACTTTCTTTTTGGAATAGGAAATGAAATAATATGAGAATGGTTCACAATGAAAAGTCTCATCTAGGCCCTTAAATATAGTTCTTATCTACTCTATACATGATTTTGTGATAGCTAAATAAATTGAAGGCCCAGACATAGTGAAAAGAACATTGAGAATTGGGTTTGTGGTGGTGCTGGCCACTTATAATGGGATTTTAGACAGATTTGCTTGGTCATTTCTTAATAGGTTTCTTGTGACTATTGAGCGAGGTTATATCTGGGAACGTCCTTGGACAATATGTAGCATGACACAATTTTAAGATTTTAGTTTTGTTATTAACTCAGTACATGTGCCTGTCCAAAGATTGGTGCCTTTTCACATTGCTGTAAAATCCTCTTTCTATGGTGAACCTTCCTCCTTTACTTCTCAGTTTCTTTACAATTTTCTGCAAGAGCATTGTCCTGCCTGCTCCAACTTTAATGCTGCTACTGAGTAGGAGAAAGGAAAGGATCCTTAGCATACTACGGAAAAAAATAGTCAAAATGGGGAAATCACTGCAAAGTTTTAAGAGAGCCCATCAAAAACCCCTTGAGTGAGAAGACATTCAATTCCTGAGTCACAGATCCACCCACAGGTATATTGGGATGCTGTCATGAAAATACCATCTGTTTTGTCACTGATCATTTTATGAACCAAAGAACATGGAGAAAGTCCCTTCTGAAAGGTATTTATTGCTATTGATTGCTAAGTTTAAGGATGAGGGTATACTAGTCTAAAAGGAATATTTGTATTATTTAATAGAACACACAATAGTGTACTTTGTACATAAAGAACTACATAAGGAATTGTCAATAGTCCAAGCATAGCTATTCCAGAGATGACTAATTCAAAGAAGCTCTATTAATATAAAGAGCATTGGCAAGGCATTGTGCAAGATGCTAAGGCTTTGTGGAGGGTTGAATTATGTATTATTCATTCCATCACATTCATTCATTTGTATCCTTCCTACCTCTATTTTCTCCATTTTATCCCTGACTTTCTTTTTTGTTTGATTTCATTAGAAGCTTGTCTACATTCTGGGGAGAAGTCATGTTTTTTTTTTTTTTTTTTGAGACAGAGCCTCAAGCTGTCCCCCTGGGTAGAGTGCCATGGCATTATAGCTCACAGCAACCTCCAACTCCTGGGCTCAAGCGAGTCTCCTGCCTCCGCCTCCCAAGTAGCTGGGACCACAGGCGCCCGCCACAACGCCTGGCTATTTTTTGGTTGCAGCCATCAACGTTGTTTGGCAGGCGGGCTGGGGATTCAAACCCGCCACCTTAGGTGTACGTGGCTGGCGCCTTAGCCGGTTGAGCTATAGGCGCCGAGCCGAGAAGTCATGTTTTAAAGTGAAAAATGTCAAATGATGGGAGAAAAAAAAGAACATGTTGGAAAAGGTCTTAATAGAGAGATGGAATGAAACTAAGATAGTAGAAACTAAGGGAAAGATGTTATGATAGTTACCTTTATTAATTTATTAAAAGTTCCTATATTTAAGATACAATATTGTCAAGTTGTGAAGTCTTCTCATATTGATCTTCGTACAATCCCGATCAAATTCTAGAAAATTATTTTGTGGATATTGGCAAAGTTATTCTAATATTTATATGGAAAGGCAAATGACTCAGAATAGCTGGCAAACAGAATATTGAAGGAGAGCGACAAGATTGGAGGACTGACACTACAACTTCAAGATTTACATAAAGCTACAGTAATCAAGGCAGTATGGTGTTAGTGAGAGGACAAAGAAATCCGTGGAATAGAAGAGAGACCCCAGAAATAGACAAATACAGTCAGTGGATATTCAACCAAAGGAGCAAAGACAATTCAATGGAATAATCATAGTCTTTCCAACAAATGGTCCTGGGATAATCAGAGACCTAAATGGAAAAAAAGTGAATCTAGCTACAGACCTTATACCCTTCTAAAAATTTAACTGAAAATGGATCATTAGACCTAAATGGAAAATGCAAAGTATAAAATTCCTTGAAGATAACATAAATAATCTAGGTCAGTGGTTCTCAACCTGTGGGTCACGACCCCTTTGTAACAATGAAAATACATCCTGCATATCAGATATTTACATTACGATTCATAACAGTAGCAAATAACAGTTATGAAGTAGCAACAAAAATAATTTTATGGTTGGGGGTCACCACAACATGAGGAACTGTATTAAAGGGTCATGACTTTGGGAGGCATTAGGAAGGTTGAGAACCACTGACAGGTGATCTTGGATTTGGCGATGGCTTTCTAATACTACACAAAAAGCACGATCCATGAATGAAAAATTTGATTTTGGACTGAATTCAAATTAAAAACTTCTCCTCTGCTGCAGCTAATTAAGCTGACAGGGCTGCTTTCCTCCAGGGGGCCTGGTGTGCAATGGCTACAAACAGCAGCTTCCTTGGTAGTGTATGTAGCCTGTTCCTTGTATGGGTTGCTTGAAAGAACATGAAGACTGTCTTTCCATATGTTTATAGACCTTGTGTTGTCCCCAGTCTAGGCTCCAGAGAGGTGCCTTTGCACAGCCCCAGAGCACTGTGTCCAGGGTTCATGTTGGCCAAGTTATCATGTCCATCTGCACCAAACTGTAGAACAAGGAGCATGTAAATGAGGCCCTATGCAAGGCCAAGTTCAAGTTCCCTGCTGCCAGAAGATTCACATCTCAAAGAAGTGAGAAACTCTCACCAAGTTTAAGGCACATGAATTTGGAGATATGGTGGCTGAGAAGCAGCTCATCCCAGATGGCTGGGGGGTCAAATGCATCCCCAACTGTGCCTGCTGAGTAAGTGGCAGGCCCTGAACTCATGAAAGCTTCCACCTGCTGCCCCCTCATTTGCACCTACCAGTGTAAGTTCTAACTCCTGTCCACACAACAACAAAAAATAACAATAAAACTTCTCCTCTGCAAGAGACAATATTAAAAGAAAGAAAAGACAAGCAAAGATTGGGAAAAGATATTTGTAAAACATGTCTGATAAAGGACTAGTCTCCAAAATATACAAAGAACTTTTAAAACTCAAAAATAAGAAAACAACCCATTTTAAAGATATGAACAGATGCCTTAAAGGAAGATATACACATGACAAAAAGCCTATGGACAGATACTCAACATTATGGCATTAGGGAATTGCAATCTGAAACAAAGAGATACTAGGACAC